GGCTAAAGTTTGTAATCGGTTTGTCATCTCGCCATTGACAAACTGATGACGATGATAAAATCTGATGACAAACTGATAACGGATGACAACACGTGAATCGGCGTTTGTCATAAGTATGTCATCATTTTTGATAAGTGTGTCATCCGTTTGACCTCCGATGACAAACTGATGACAAATAAACCGATGCCAATCAGGCCGCTTCCATCCATCGCTCCAGCTCCAGATCGCTAGAGAATGTAAGAGGATGGCAGTTTAAACTGCGAAACTAAAAGTTCTACAGTTTAAAACTGAGGAACTAATTAGTTCCACGGGTTCTCTAGCTATAGCCGTTCAAAAGGTGCTTTTCGAAAAAAAAAAAAATTCCGACATTAGTAGAGTGTGTTATCCATCCTCATACATCATAGTAAGCCGTTTTGATCTGCGACGCCTATTTCAGACATGAGAGGGAAATACCGTCTATCAGAGAAACATAAAGCGGGAAAATTAAACTACGTACGGTAAGCTAAAGCTTAATACTGCCGTCTTGTGACCAAAGTTTGTGATCAGTTTGTCATCCGCTTGCCGTCTGTTTGACATCGGCTGACATTTGGATGAGAAACGGATGGTACAATGGCCACAAAATAATGTCATACACACGCAGAAAAAAAATTCGTGGCTCTGCAAAATTTTTAGCACCGGGGATAAAAAATTGACTGAATAGACTGGGCTAAATTATTTAGCACCAGGGCTAATTTTTTAGACACACTGCAAAATGCTTGCAAAGAATAGGTTCGTATTGCAAACTATTTTCTTTGCAGCTTGCAAAGAATTTTCAAGCATCGTAATACGAACTAGTTCTTCGCAAGCTTGCAAACTATTTCTTTGCAATGCAAACACATTGTTTGCAAGGATTCTGCCAGCTTGCAAAGAACTTCTTTGCAATACGAACTAATTCTTTGCAATACAAAACTCACAAATTCTTTGCAACGTTGCAAAGAATATAGTTTGCAAGCATTTTACAGTGCATATAGTAAACCACAACGTTTATTAACCGTGTAGCTTATGTCACTTAGCTCTACAGCTAAATATTTTTACACACAGCTAATTTTTTTGCACGGGTGTAAAATTGTGCAGTTAAACCAAGTTAAACCGATTTGCACGGAACCGAATTTTATTTTTCTGTGTGCAGATGGTCACGCCGTTTTACGTTTTGTCATCCGCTTGTCATCAGTATGTTATAAAATTTCATCATCAGATTGTCATCAGTTTGTCGTCCGTTTTTCATCGGCAAGGTGACCAACCGATCACAAACTGATGCCATAATTTTCCAAGCAGGGTCCGAGCGAACGTTGCGCGTACTTTACTAAAGGGCGTACTCGTTGGAGCTGTAAGGGTTGTTTATTTCCACTATTTCTAAAGGTTTTTTTTGTGGAGTTTTTTAAAATAATTGTCCTTACTGTGATTGAGGATGTTAGCTGAACTGAAAAGTAATTTTGTTTGTCTTCGAAGCGCCGGGCGATTGCCCTAGCTGGGGCCTTAAGACCAAAGTTCGTTAAACAAACGGTATTCGGATTCATACTGGATAGAAAATTGATAAAATCATTTGCGATGTTTCGAAGGCGTCGCAAGCGTCGGAAGCTACGTGAGGTCGCTGCTAGCGTCGCAGGAGCTCTGCGCGAGAAAACTTGCAAACCCGATATAAAAAATAATCACAAACATTGTGGATTGTGCTTCAGTGCTTCTACCTTCCAAAGCCATTCAAACGTTAAATTAGCGTTATTTTTCGTAACAGGTTCCGGTCGGGATTCCTGTCTTCTTCTGTTTTAGCCGAGACCGAATAGCGTCTAGTAGCCTGTCGCTTCCAGCGTGTGAGTGAGAAGGCATGATACGGCTAGAAGTTGTCTCTGTCGCTCACGTGACACTCCCAGTCTACCGATGAAGATGAGTACGGCTTGTCCAGCCGCACTGCCGCAGCTGCGTCACCTGTCCCTTGAGGATATGGCGTTAGCGACTAGGGGAGTAAAGGGAGTAGGGAAGTAGGGGACTAGGG